ATCTCTCCCTCCTCTTCCTCCTCCTCTTCCCTGTCCACTGTGCTCTGATCCAGAACCACACTGTCATACTAACAACTCCTTGGGGACTCTAACTCTGCTTGTCTCCGTGATGTAAGTTCCTCTTCCTCTACGACCTTTGGCGGGGGGTTCACCAGCCACACGGACCTCTCACCTCACGCCCTGCAGACCCCTCTCCTTCCCCCTTCCTCCTCCTCCTCCTCCTCACCCTCTTCATTAATGCATGCTTCACAGGACGGCAGAGTGACAGTGTGTGAAGCCATCGGAGTGGTGTCGAAAGTCGGCCATCCATCTGTTTCTTGGTGTTAAAGAACGCATGCTCACTTTATTTGGTATAGATCATCTGTTTGTTTTTTAAAGGACCATAATGGTGTTTTTTGCATGTTTTAGTCCATTAACCATAAATCACATCTACTGTTTTCAAAAACCATACCGTACATTTTTAGATGATTATATTTCGATCAGATTTTTACGCCAGCGTGCTGTGAAAATCAAAGTTTGAAAGGAGGCTTAAGGTAATTAATTACAGCCAACGATTATTAAACTGTGACTATCTGTCAGGTCCATCGCAGCGGAGAGCAGCAACTGATCTGATTAATCGTCTTGTTTACTGGTAGTTTAGCTAAAATAATTTACTTCTCATAACTATACAGGGAAGATATACCTAAACATAGCTAACTTTGATTTTAGCCAGTATGTGTTAGCTTATCTGATTAATAGCTAATGTAGGCTGCTGACATTAGCCCAGGCTAGTCCTTAAAAAACAACCTGGAAGACAATAAGTGGACATACATTTTGGACACTGTGTTAAAATCAAATCCTAGTTACCAACTTTTTATGCAGCATTTTGGTGATAATTTCAGTCCACTAAATTAAATAATTCTCACTAAACTATTAAACTACTATTAGTGAGCTAAGCCAGAAACTGAAGGTCGTAGATAGATACATACACTCGGGTTAATTAAATTACTAAGTTAAGAAATAGCTAACGTTGACATTAACCAGCTTGTGTTACCTAAGCCACCTTAGTCGTCAGTCTTTTGATTGGCTTACCCTGATATTCTCACTCCTTGTGCCTGAACCTAACCAACCGAACCAATGAAAGCAACCAGTACCAATCAGAGGCAGCGTAGGGCGGGTCATGACATCGCAACCCTGGGAAAAACAACCTGTCGTACTGCAAATGTTTATCACTGGCTAACATAGGTCAATGAGAGAAACAATAGGCGAACATCAATATTCTGACAACAATAATGTGAGTTTCTTGTAATCAAAACTCAGATTTTTCGGATTTTCTGAGCTCTTAAAATCACAAAAACATGAGATTTCTCAGAATATTTCCTGCTCTCCGCACTTAGTGTATTATAGCAGCTTTACTTTAACTGAAACATTAACTGTAATAGCAGTTAAAGTTATAAGCAGTTATAAAGCAGTTTTAAAGGTTGGCTGTAATGTAAACTATAAATTATTTGCCATTAATAAGACAGAACCTGCAAAACCCTCCAGTATGGTCCTTTAAAGCAAACTCAGTTCATGTGACTCAAAGAGTCTTTTCAAACTGATTGATTACTGATCATATCAAAGTTTGGGCAGTAAACAAAAAAACAAACACACACATTCCTCAGCACAGGTTGTTTGTTGTCTTTCGGGACCCGTGTGGCTTTATCTGGATTATTCTAACACTGTGTTTCTACCAGGTCCTCCTCTTTGTGTCACCATGTGTGCGACTGGATGGACTGTGACGTTTTCTTGTGATGTTTTACCCTTTTTTTATTTTTGTCCATACAGTGTTTTCTTTCCCTCTTCCCTCTTACAGTTTTCCCCACACTTCGCCATTTCCTCTCACACTAACAAGTCCTCCAAAGACTAACTGAAGAAGACAGCTGCTAACACTCATCCCTTCTCTACGCTCTTATCACCTGTCAGGGGGGGTTGTGTTTGATGCCTGGTGGTTATTAACTGGTTACTCTGGTCTGTTTTGCATGCTTCGAGGATAAATCCACCATCAGATACTCTTACACTGCTATACAACATATTACAGCCTGTCAGTGGATTTTTATAATGAGTGCTGGAATTTGAGTTTCCTTCAGCACCCCCCGCCTGCTTGTAATTCAGTTCCTACATTACATAAAATAGCTTTGAAAAACAAAATATGCAGAAAACATGTATGAATGTTTTTGCATTTGGACGCAGTGGGAGGCTGGAGCAAAGAGTTGTCCTCGTTGATGAGTTCAAGTGCTTGGAAGAACTCATATATTACAGTAAATTTGGAAACTTGGAAGAGAAATGCATTGTGTGTACATAGAGAGTTGAATTCAATTAGCCTGCAAATTAATAGAATAGAATAAACTATCTTCCTTGAGAACTTGCCAAAATGATAATCATGATTATTTATTACAATTATTCGTTGATTTTAGTGATTAATTAATAGTACTGTCGCCTTTAAATAAACAGCTCTGCTTTCACTTCAGTGTTTCCGCTATTATACAAATCTTTACATCGAAATGAGACTCGTCCTTATTCACAGGTCAGTTGTGTTGCTTTGCGATGAAGATTCTTTCCATGGGATTTGTTCTCGCCCTAAAAAGTACTTCTAAACCACGGATGATCCTCTGTTTTGAGGGACTAGCTCTTCGCCTTCTGCTCCAGACATTTAATGTTTGTGTTTCCCGTCCACTCTCTGTTGTATATTATTCTTCTACTCCAGACTGTAGCCACAACACCTACTTATTGCACAGGAAAAACATCCCCATCACCTGGCTGTTAATTTAGGAAGCGCTTGAATTTATATGAGTTTTCTTTAAGTGGAGCACACATTTAAACGTAGTCGCGATGTGCATTGAAATGTGTAATTAAAAGTAAGTATATTGGCGCTGTTGGTGAAGAAATGTCTTGTCACCAAACCTGACATTTAACAGTATTTTATTGTATATGTCACATAATGCTCCCTGATCAACCACAGAAGAGCTTAAAATTTTAATCTGCTGTTTGCCAAAAATAGCTTAACGTGACGTAATTCTGATGCACTCAAATCTTGATGTCTACATTTAGTTGTATCCATGGCGACAAAAACAAAACACATCAAAATGTTCCCACAAATGCAATTTACATTTGTTTTAATCAGTGTGGAAGTGTTTTGAGGTGGATTTCTCCTTTAAGGTTGAAGCATCTACTGAGAAGTCAGAGTTGATGTGAAGTTGTTGTCTTCAGTTGCCTCTCCTGTACACTGACTTCCTGTACACTGACTTCCTGTACACATTACTGGTGCATGCTTCTGTGGCGCTGTGATATGTGATATTAGCATCACTTTAGGGAATCTTGTATTAACCCACAAGCCGTCCCATTAAACAACCACTTGTCTGTATTTCCGGTGTGTGTCCGCAATCCATCACTTGAATCCATAAACTAATTATTTATCGACGGAGACGCCTCCCATCCGTCTCTGTGACTTGTGTTTCGGGAAGGTTGTTGCGACACATCCACTCTCTGGTTGGATCCATGTTTTCATGACTTATTTTTTTCCTTCAGTTCATCCTCTCTCACGCCACCGCAGCCTCAGTGTATTTTTAGCAGAACTAGATTGTTGCTTTGCGGGCTCGATGTCCCGCCATCCTTCAGCCGAAATCTAACGCCTGGAGATGGGCTATTTATAAATCAGGCCGGTGGTGTGATGTCCCGGTGTGATCATTCACCCAATCACACTCTGACATCACTCTGAGGGGGGACAGAAACTCACCCACAGACACTTTACTCTCTCCTTGTCGTCCTCTTTTCCTCACTTTTTCTTTTTCATCCAGGGGACAGATAAAAGTAATTTCAGTGCCATTAATCTGTGCAGAAATATGCAAACACAGGCTTGAACCAGATTTTTAAACCCCTGTGTTTGCATTATTCCGTGTTATACGTCTCAGCCATCGAGACTTTATGCCTACGGGCATTATACATAAATAGATGTGAACACACTACATCCATGTTTGGACATAAACCAGGACAGTTTGGTCCTTCACCTGACTCCAGCAGTGTCCTTTAACAGCTTGTGTGTCCTTGCACACCTGTATGTGTTGCACATTTACTCACTGAGGAAAAGTGCTGATTCAGGTAATTTCTGAGGCTGTGTTGTTTTTTTTTATTCCACTGAATCTTATTGTGAAAAGGCTGCTTCCTTCACATTTCACTAATGATGTACCTACCTGGTGTAGCTACCTCTGAGGACATCAAGGTCATGTCCTCTGTATTTGTTTTGGTCTTTTTTACAATTTTTAATATTTATAAGTTTCTTTAAATGCTGCATGTGCAAAATTTCCCAGCATCTCTTTCTTCTTTTGTATTTTTTGGTACATTTTTGGCGGGTGTAGCAAATACCAGATTTAAAACTGATTATTTCTGTCCCTGCGCAGCAAACCCACACCCCCACTTCCAAGCATAAAAAACAATAATTTAAAGCTGGGCAGTAATCAATAATACAATTTATATTCATGTGATTATTGTTACTCTCAAAATACATTTAAAATACAGAGATTTATATTATAGTCTTGGGTGGCGGCATGTATCCAACCTTATAGTTTTGTCCAATCACTGCAGCTTTTCTGCAAATTTGACGTCATAGTCCTGTCTTTGTACTTTTGTAGTCCTTGTTTTTCAGTTTATAATTCAATTATATTTGTATTGAACTCAAAATAATGGAATTTTATTCTCACTGGAACAAGTTGCCTTAAATTTTTAATGAATTATACAAACAAAACCAAAAGAAATGCTTAAAAACATCGCAGTCTTTTTTAGAAAAGCTTCCATGAAATCAGACAAAAAATCCAAACATGGAACAAAACGTTCATGTTTCCGATTTCTTCACGTCATTGCACAAGTCACAATGGTTGTA